GCCAGCCGAACCTAATATTATTGAAGAGGATGTTGAAGGTATTGTTGCGCCAGCCGAACCTAATATTATTGAAGAGGATGTTGAAGGTATTGTTGCGCCAGCCGGACCTAATATTATTGAACATGATGTTGAAGGTATTGCTGGTCCAGCCGGACCTAATATTATTGAACATGATGTTGAAGGTGTTGCTGGTCCATCCGGACCTAATATTATTGAACAGGATGCTGAAGGTGTTGCTGGGCCATCCGGACCCAATGAATTAAATGAAGATGGTGATGATTATAATGATGAGGAAGAGTTGTATCAACTGAATGAAATTTATGAACAATTAACTAGGCCTAAATCTAGGCCAGGTCATCAAGCCTTTTATCAAGCAAATGTAGCACCACTTATCGACGGTAACTTTTCCAAAATAATTTTAATAACAATTAAACTTTTTTGTTTTTAATTTAGATCAAAAAAATTTCCTTAATAACTTTATTATGGAATTATCCGAAGTAAGGCTTCGAAAATCAATTCCGAATGCTCATTCGGAAGAATTGGCAAGTGTTGTGGCCAGAAATTTCTTAGCCGCCCGAAATTTTCCCGAAAATATACCGAAAATAATGGCCAAGTATTGTGGCAGTGTACATCTCCAAAATCAATTTTTGGAAGAACAACCGTCCCATGTGCAACCAATGAACATCACAACATCCCATCCAGAATTGTCCATTCATTATTTTTCAGTTGGTCAAATAATTAAGTCAATTCTTGATCGATATCCATCCATAATCAATTCAATTGAAGGCGAAAAATCATTACGATTTGAGGACGCAAATGAAAGAAAATTTCTTGTGATCAATAATGAACTTGATACCGTTGATGAATCGATTTTCAACAGATTGCGTGGAAAATTAAGGATGGAGATTTCCATTGATGATTATTCTTTTTGTGGAAATAAAGGAAAAAAGTTCGTTAGTGGTTATTTAGCATGTTCTAATCTACCACTCCAAAAACGAGTCAAGAGAGATCAAATCCATTTGTTTCTCTTGGCCAAGAGACCAAAAATTGAAGATGCCATGAACAAAATTCTAGAACCTTTTGTTCTTGAAATGCAAGAACTTGAACGATCTGGTATATCGATTAAAAACGATCAAGGTGAAGAGATCAAAATAACCCCAACACTTTCAAAAATCATATGTGACAACCTTTCCCAAAATGAAATTTTGGGGTTATCTATGGGATTCGGATCAGGCAGTGTTTGTCGAGAATGTTTGGGAAGGCGTGAGCACTATTCAAAAACACGTTCGCACGAAATTCTGGACTCCACTAATAGCGAACTTCAACAATCAGCTGTGAATGTTCGTAGAGATTGCATTCTTACCAGATTAAATGGAGTCACAATAACTAATATTGCCCCTCCTGATATTTTTCACGATGTATTCGGTAAGATAAAAGATGTTCATCTCACCTGAATAGATTAGCTAAATTATTTTCATTTTCATTATTATAAATTCAGAGGGGCCTATTATTCAGATACTAGACCTTTTCATCCATTCCATTATCAGATGTAAAGACCTGAATTTAACATTGAAAAATGCTAAGGATCGACTAGAAAATTTTCCATTCTACCATGGAAAAATCTTGGTTGAGTGGAAAACCCGAAAATTGTCTATATATGGAACCGGTGTTCAAGTAAGTTCTCTCAGATCTTATCTAAAATTCAAAATCTTATTTTCAATTCCATTTATTGAATAGAAATTTGAATGTTTTATGAGATCATCAGAAATATTTTTCGATATTTACGATAATTTTTGCGAGGACGAAATCTCAGCGGTTGAACTTTTACAATCAACGATCGAATTTTGTCGCTTGGCGATGAAAACGAATTTCACCGGTGAAGATCTGCGGAATATGGATATGTGGAGCAGATCACTTATCGATTGGTTTGTTACTCTTAGCGATAAAGAAAAACATCTGGACTATAGTGTGACGTATAAACTACACAAATTATTACATTACGCCGCAAATATACGAAGATTCGGTCCGATGTACCTGTCATCAACGATGAGATACGAACGATGCCACCAAAATTCCAAGAGATATGGCCGAGTAATGGGTTGCTGGAAATCTCCAGCAGCTACATTATCCGAACGCCTTGCATTGAGGCAAACGGTGACATCCATTAGAAAAATCACCACGGATCAATGGGTCAATCAATCCACGATTTCGGTATATGATGCCCAAAATCTTGGGTTCGAGTTGGGAAATCAAGATCAAGGAGATTTCGTTTTGGGAAAAAATGTATTAAGAAGACTCATCATACCCGGTTATCGACCCAAGATGTGGTTGAAGGCGATCAAATTTTTAATCCACCCAGAAACTCGTCAAATTATGGTTAAAGGTTCCATCTGGTACGAAGTGTACTCGGAAGATGAGACACCAGAGAAAAAATTCAACCTTCAACGGATAAGAACGTTCGGAGAAACAGTTATCATGAATAGCGAACGTTTATCACATATAAATGATTTTATTTATAAATGGAAAGATGATCATTATTATGTAAATAGATTTTTTTAACATGTATTTATTTATGTATTGATGTTTTATTTATTTATGTATTGATGTATTTATTTATGTATTGATGTTTTATTTATTTTTTATTTATTTATGTATTGATGTTTTATTTATTTATGTATTGATGTTTTATTTATTTATGTATTGATG